CTTTGGCATGTACACGTGTGAGTGTGTGTCCGTATGGCCATGTGCATCTGCCAGTCATCTCAGTCAGTCAACCCATAACAACTGGGTCTTGCTGTGTGGCCTCCCGTCAGCGAGCCTTTGACACTTCACGTGGCCTCAAGGTGCACCGAGCCTGGTATCAGTACTGTGGTGACGGCACCGCCAACGAGTGGCGAATGAAACAGCTGGTGCCATAGTTGTACTTGTGTATGTGTGTGCGCACATGTATGTAGTGGGGAGCGGAAGTGTAGCGGTTAGCGCGCTGCGCTATGAACCCAGCAACCCGAGTTCGATTACCGCTCACGGCCAACACCAGTGACGATTATCTGAACCAGTCCCCGGCCTCCCCTAGGTCGACTCAGCCTCAAATGAGTACCTGGTGCGGTGTGTAAACATCACCACTAGGGAGACAAAGGCGGTCGAGCGTGGTGCTGGCCCACCCACCCCCTCGTGTACCGTTGTGGCCTTCATAGATGCTCGCTAACAGCACTTGCCCCTACAGTCTGTTAAGGCTATACGGGGGATCTTTGTCTTTGTACATCAGGGACGTGCGGCCAGGGGAGGCAGGGGAGGCAGGGGAGGCAGAGCCTCATCTGTTATACTCCAATGAAAATAGCTGTTACGAAAAGTGAAAAAATTTATATATTTTTTTCCACTGATCTGTGTTATAAATGTCATTTCTGTATGATTCCAATCATTACAGAGAGACAGTAACGGGCACGCGCTTGTTGTCCGCGCTCCATCCAGTGTCTGAGGGGTTGCGCAATCAGAGGGGAGGCTGAGCTCGTCGCTGCCTCCTCGCCTCTCGTCTCTTCCCTGCGTTTGCAGCGGAGTGCTCCGCAAATTTGGCGATTTTGACTCTAAAAAATATTGGAATCATACGGAAATGACATAACGCAGATCAGTGGAAAAATCTTAATTTTGTTATTTTTTTTACTTTTTGTAACAGCTATTGTCATTGGAGGATGGCAAGTGAGGCTGTGCCTCCCCTGCCTCCCCTGACCGCCCGTCCCTGATGTGCATGTATGGCGGGGAGCGGTAGTGCAGCGGTTAGCGCGCTCTGCTACGAACCCACCTCCCCGAGTTCGATTCCCATTCACGGCCAATACCAGTGACGATTATCTGAACTGGTCCTGGGCCTCCCCGAGGTTGACTCTCAGCCTCAAGTGACTACCTGGTGCAGTGTGTAAACATCGCCACTGGGGAGATAAAGGTGGCCAGGCGTGGTGCTGGCCACCCACCCACCCCCTCATGTGCCGCGCCCGGCCTTCAAGGGTGCTCGCTAGCAGCACTTTCCCCAAAAGTCTGCTCAGGCTATAGGGGAGAACTTTGTCTTTATTCATGTATATATGGGCAGCGGTGAAGCAGTGGATTGTGCATTTCACTTGTAAGCTCAATTCACAATCACAGATTGCACCAGTGTAAAGTGATATCAGAAGCTGCCCTGGATCTTCTTTGGGTCAACTTAGCCTCAAATGAGTCCCTGGTGCATGTGTTGCGCACCAGAGCCTCAAACAAGCCGTGGATTGTTGTGGCTATGACACTCTCCCACCTTGTGCCGTTCCAGCCTGAACAAGTAAAAATAAACTATGAACATTTTTTTTTTGTAATTGTACCCGGTAAGGTCCACTGAACTGTACAAGCTCTTCTTTCGCAGCAGAGACCTGGCCACAAATGATAGCTCACGAAGTGGCTTATCACGTGGAAATTTAGAGCAGCCTAATACTCTTAAACGCGTGTTGATTCTAAATGTGGAGGGAGAAAACCGGGGGCCCAGGAGAAAAATCCACGTGACCACGGGAGGAGAGAAACACGCAAACTCCAAATATACAGCAGGCGTCAGGGCCGGGATCGAAGCCATGACCTCCTGTATACCAGGCGAGGTTGTTAACATCTAGCCACCGTAACACCCCACGATGCTCGCTAAACAGCACTTATGTCTGCGGGACGAGTGTCTGTCCTGTTTATGGTTGCGTACGAACGGATATATCTGGACGTGTGTGGAAAGCGGTAGAGTAGCGGTTAGCGCGTGCTGCGCTACGAACCTCGATCCGGGTTCGACTCCCGATCACGGCCAACACCAGTGACGATTATCTTAACCAGTCCTGGGCCTCTTCTAGGTCGACTGAGCCTCAAATGAGTACCTGCTGCGATCTGTTGACATCGCCACTAGGGAGACAAAGGCGGCCGGGCGTGGTGTTGGCCACCCAGCCCCTCGTGTGTCGTGCCGGCCTTCATAGGTGCTCGCTAACAGCACTTGCCCCAACAGCCTGTTAAGGCTATACGGGGATCTTTTTCTTTGTGTGTGTGTCTCCATATTAATTTCCGCGGAAAAAAAAACGAAACGCGTGCTCAAATCGCGTCCAAAAGGTTGGGACGATGCACAGTTATGTGGACAGTTGTTCAATGTTACACGCCTTGGAATTTGAACGTTCAGGAATGTGGGTGTTCAAGTGCAAAGAAAAAACCTCTTTGCCACATGTTCCTCCCCTCCTCCTCCCCCCCACCCGACACTGCAGCAACATTGACTCTGACTGCCCTGGCAATGCACGTCAGAAGGAACTCGCCCTAGGCAGCAATAGTGGCCGCAGTACGGCAATAACATTGGGTAAAGGTGCAGCCCTGCAATTGCTTGATCGTGCCCCTTGTAGAGGCAGCTTGTAGAGCACCCCCTATAGAGGATATTTTGTTCCACTCTATCTCCGATTAGCACGGTTGGTTAAACTAAACTCTTTATTTTATATGGCTCTTTTTCAGATGGGGCATGTCCACAAATGATAGCTCAACGATATGGCTTATCTCGTGGAAATGTATAGCAGCCAAATACTCCAAAGGCAACGTTGATTCTAAACGTGGATGGTAAAACCGGAGGATCCGGAGAAAAAAAACACGCGACCACGGGGAGAGAGACACGCAAACTCCAAATATACAACAGGCGCCAGGGTCGCGATCGCACCCACGACGTCCTGTACACCAGGCGAGGTAGTTAACATCTCGCCACCGCGGCTACGCACGGTGCGAAAGAAGTTCAACGCACATGCATACATCACATTGGCGAGGTGTCTTGAAAAAGCTGGGAGCACCAAAACTTTACCCCACCACACACCCCAACTCATTGGTGCCGAGCGACGAGTCTGTGGTGGACTTGTTTATAAAGCATCCCTCTTCCTGCGCTGGGTGAATGATTGCATCACAGGTTCGTGACAGACGACGACGGCTTGGGGAGCCCTTCATCTAGCAGTGGACTGATCATGACAGACGAATGGAATTGCATTTCCAATAACAAAAAAAATCGTATTGATGCTTTGTCTAATGGTGGCTTCAAACACAATTAGGGCCTTATGTGAGCACACACGTATGCACAGTGCCTTCTCTAAGCTGCCTGCTGCTCATAAGGAGGTCTTCTGTTAAGTCGATACAATTATTTTGGACTCCGAAAGCCGACACACAATCGCTTTGCCTTGTAAAAGTGACTTAATAACATTAGATTTTTGTTCATCAGCTTTCTTAAAATCTGGTCAAATGGCACTGTCGTTCAGCTTACAATTGTAAAATTGTACATTCAGCTCTGCGTTGGGGGGGGGGGGGGGGGTCTTCTGAGCCTATCATCCATCATTCGTTCAGGGGTGATACATTGCTTACCACATTGTGGGAAATCAACAGCGGTCATCCTATGGACAGAATGGCCCCTGCAATTGAAATAATAATTTCCAAAGTCTCTTGGGCAGGGAGAAATGTTGATGCGGTTCTTAACAGAACATTCAGGTCATGTGCAGATTCTAACCGGAGGGAAAAAAAAACACATGAACGGTTTAATAAATGCATCTCCGATTTAGCACGGTTGGCTACGTACGGTGCGAAAGAAGTTGAACATACATCCATGCATCATTGTCTAGACCTCTGACCAGAACACTCACAATGTACCGAATATCATCACATTTCGGAGGTTAAGCAGATTTGAGCCTGGATAGTGCTTGGATGGTCGACCCCCATGTGAACAACAGGTGCTATAGGCTGCTGCGGGACTTCTCTCGTCAGCAAAGGACAAAGCAGCAAAATCCAGTGTTGTACTGCACTCTGCTCTAATGTCTATGCTCCCCCCTGACCAACCCACACTGATGGACGTGGGGAAATATGGCAGCTCTCGGGGTGCACGTGTTAATTGTTATACAAAAAGCACAAAACAACGTGAACTTCTGGAACCTATGGCCCACAATTGTGAGATGCATTACATCCATTGCAACCACAGTTGAAAGTTGAACTCATGATACAATGTATGGCATTGTTTAGAAATGCTTTCGATGTGACAAGCCAGCATTCGAGTAAACTGTAACATTGCTGCACGACTGAACTATATTCCCTTCACATATAGCATGCACAAATCTGATTGATTTGGTAATTACTAGCAGTATATAGCAATATACGACATAATAAAGTAAGTGATGTAGTTGAGCAATAAACAATAACAGTCAACATTACATAAGGCATATTTGAATGACATAGATCCGTTTAATTCCGCACTTTTAAGTAGTTTCCTTGTTGTTAATGACCATCCCAAATAATACATTTGCAACTCTCACAGAGCCGTGCAACCTTTAGTGTGTACAGGACGACCCATTGAAGTGGATGTTACCTCGAAGAGCCCTTCAAGTGACCTCTGATCCACACGGTAGGGGGCAGCACTTTCACACCCTGCCCTTCATCTAAGAGTGATGCTCATTGCATGACAGTCGGACTTGAACATTTAAATTCATACCAAATGAAATGCAGAACCATGTTTTATGCGACGCGGTTTTTTTGTGTGTGTGTGGTCATTGGTGGGACGGGCTGATACCACCAGCTCACGCCACTAGAGAAAACCCGCGATTACTTACAAGGTGGCTGCCTCGATTTGAGCCCAGGCCCCTTCAGCAGAAACCACTCAGTGCGCTGACCTCTGGACATTTCAATTGATTGTGACCACAGCAGCAAAGTACACTCACTTGATGTAGTAGCGCTGGCCGGATGGAGTGGTGGCGACTTCCCAGCCTGGAGGCAATGGAGGTTCCCCGACTGCAAGCGTCGCTTGCTGAAGCTCACTGCAAGACAGCTGCCTCCCATGCTGCTGCTGATGAAGGTGCTGATGCTGCAAGTGATGCTGCTGCTGCTGCTGATGGTGCTGCTGCTGCTGCTGAAAAGGTCCAAATCCACCGAGTCCTCCCTGAATCTGTTGCAGATTCGCCGGAGAGGAGTGGGAGCGGCTATGTTGTGGGACAATCCCGGGAGGGAGGGAGGATTGGATCGGCGGTGGCGGTGGCGGCGGCGGACCAGCGTTGTGTCCCCCGCCGCACGGAGATGTGGAGTCGGCGCTCGACTGCCTCGAGTGAGAGCCAGAGTCGGGCTCCCTGAAGAAGGACGGAGGGAGTTTCCTGTAGCGCCAGGGCAGCGCGCCTCCCTGGCAGGGTCTGGCCACTGCGCTCACCTGGGGGTTCATCACGGTGTTGAAGAGCGTCTCCAGGTCCTGTCTCGGAGTCCCCGCGCACGTGAAGAACCTGCTGCCCCATCGGGCCCAGCTGATGGTCGCCGCCCAGCTCCATGGCTTGGAGAGAATTCGTCGGAGTTGTCTAATGATGCTTATTCCGTTGAGCGTTCAGTCGAAGACAAAGGCAAACGGACTCGAAATGCTATAGGTCATGAGATGAGGCGCGCATATGTGATCTTCTGTTGAGCGCACTAAACTCAAAAAAAGTTGTTAAAGCTTGAATCCCACACGCGACACTTCTGAAAATAACCCCGTAAGGTTTTTCTGCGGAGAATAGAGTACAACTAATTCTGTGGAAATTAACATCTACAGCGCAGATGTCGCCGTTGCTTTAAGGCAACATGGAAACGATACGATCGCTCTCCGGCGAGGTTCAGTCGCGTTGGTGAAGAACACTCGACCAGTTGAACACAACGTTATTTTAGACGCGGCAGCAGCAGGCAGGCAGGCAGAGGCAGCTTCCCAAGTCGAACAGCTCTCAGCGTCCAGAGAGAGAAAACAAAGTGTTGCCGGCTTATTACCGTTCTTGTTCTGGTTGTTCTTCCTTCTTGCTGCCGATACTCAAGCGCACGGTTGAACACTCAACAGTGCTGTTCGATTCAGTTTCTCCTTCTTGCTCTTGTTGTTGTTGCTGCTACTGCTGCTGTTCTCGTCTGCTTTTGGCAGCGAGGGTCGTTGACAGCGAGAGAGGGAAACTAAAATAGAAGAAGCTCAGACGGGAGCGGCGGCAGGGGAGAGAGGGAGAGGAGAGACTGCGAGAGGGGGGGCGGGTGTGTGTGGTGTGTGCTAAGTTGGAGCTGTGTGGGCCCGTGCTGCAATGTGTGTTGTGGTGTGTGGACTGCCACTTTCAGGTCATCAAATCAGCACCAACTCACTAAAGCACCGCCCTTCTCATTATGCATGAGCCTATGCTGTAAGGTTTTTTTTGTATTTTAAAGGGACAGCCGCTCTCGAACGCAGAGATAATAGGGTACTCCGTTAAAGTTAGATAAGGGGTTTTTTTTGGACGAAGGGGTTACTTTTATTAGAGGTTAGTTGTAGGGTCGATGATGGTACAATTTGGGGGTAAGGGAACAGGATTATTGTTATGGTTCGGGGGTCAAATTATGGATCGGTTTGTCGGGGAGGAATTGTAGTTAAGGTCTAGTGGTAATGTTCAAGTTAGGAGTGTTGAAGAGTTAAGTGAGCAGTCAAAGCGTCTTCCCGACCCAACTTATTATGGAACATACATTCCACATTCGCACGTCAAGGGCGAGTGTATATATAGATTATGTCACGGTTAACGTTAGTGCGGGGATATGGGCAGGGATACATGAAGGGCTATGGGAATGCAGAAGCAACAGGGCCGTTGCTGTGCTCAGACTAAGGCTAAATGCTGCGAAACGCAAAATCCTGTGAAAGATTCAGTTCCGAAAAAAAACATTTGCGTACCATTCTCATCGCATACCACGCTGATGTCAGTGACATTCACAAAGGCAAAGCTCCCCCGAGTAGCCCTCATCAGACTGTTGGGGCAAGTGCTGTTAGACAACACCCTATGATGGCCGGAAACGGTACACGAGGGGGTGGGTGGCCAGCACCACGCCCGACCGCCTTTGTCTCCCCAGTGGCGATGATTTGTACACACGGCACCAGGTTACTCATATTGAGACTGAGTCGACCTAGGGGGGGGGTGTGGGGGAGGTTCAGATAATCGTCATCGGTGTTGGTGGCCGTGAGTGAGATGACGAACTCGGGGTCGCCGGGTTCGTGGGGCAGCAGCGTCGCGCTCACCGCAACTTGCATCGCCGCTCCACCCACAGTCACAATCACAGCCGGGCTCAAATCTTGACGTCGAACTTCTTTCGCACCGTACGTAGCCAACCGTGCTAATCGGAGGTGCGGGTGAAGGACAACAAACTGAGCGCGACAATAGGCAGCTGCTGTGTTACCAAAAGTCGTACGGGACAGGATCGTTATTCAGCAGCACGCGAATCAGAACCACCGCGTACTCTTTTACAATGCGTGCATCCCACCGATGAAGCAAAATATGTTTAAAAACAACAACACCCAACGCGTTCATCAACAAACAATAGAACTCCTCGGTTCCGTTTCGAAGTCACACCAGGGGGGGTGGGGGCCTTAAAATCGCCGCTTGCACCACAGTCATCTGGAGTCCGTGGCACAGCTTTATTTCAAGCACATTCCATTCATGACGTTTGCAACTCGGAGCCCGCTTTTCCTCTGCCTGACTGCGTGGTTGATGGTGGTGGTGGTGGGGTGGTGGATGGCTAGGGAAGGGCTGTGGTTCGTGTCGTTGGTGGTGGTGGGGGGGGAGGGCGAGTTAGGGTGAGGGTTAGTAGGCGTATGAATGCTGGCTTGCACCCAGCAAATTCCAGCAGCAAAGAAACATGGCCCTCTCAGCTCCCTCGCTTGGCTTAATGCGAGGCAGCAGCATTGGTTAGAGTTGTGCACGGGCTTGCGTGTGTGCGTGTGTACGGAGTCTTTTGTGGTCGATGAAACCACAGGGTAATGTGGTGCTGGTTGTGTTGTATTATCTAGATTGTCAATGTAGTCGTAATAATGATCATACAGCGAAACTCGTCTCATTCGCTGCGTAATGTTGGCTGGTGATATTGTCAAAGCCTTTTAACCGTGAAATGCACTCCTCTTATCCGCAAAACGTAATGGCAAACAGTAGGATGGATATACTGTGAAACTCCGCTTAACCATGAATCACATTGATCGTGATGTTTAAATATGGTGAATGCATTGCACTATGAACCTGGAATCCTGAGTGGGCAGTGACATCTGAATTGGTACGAAAGGCCCCCTGTTCACCAAACCGCAATGACCAGTCTGGTGAAGTATGGTCAAACATCCGTACGCAGCTTGGGGAGGGATCTAAGTTACGAGTCAGTGAGTACTTTTATTACGGGACCACAGCTGCACTCAAGCGAGTATAGTTTGTGGGATGCTGCTCGCGATGTAGCAGCGCAGCCGTCGATAAGGGGCCGTCCATAAATGACGTCACGCACCTAGGGGGGGGGGTCAGACATTTGTGACGATGTGTGACGAGGGGGGGGGGGGAGTGATAAATGTGATGTCACATCAAAATGCGCAACTTTAAATACATATAGACAACACGTTCTACTTAATTAAATAGACTTTTTAATAAATGTTTTCTCCTACAACATCAGAGTGCAGCGCCACATTAAATACGCACTACAATGACAATAGTTTAAAGCGATTTGAAGCATGTTTTTTTTGGGGGGGGGGCAGAGCTTTGCGACGTCATATTTGAGGGGGGGTCTGACTTTTTGTGAAGCCGTGGGACGACGGGGGGGGGGGGGGGTCAAAAATCGTCCAAAATCGCGTGACGTCATTTATGGACGGCCCCTAACCACGTGCTGGGTTTGTTGGAGCATACTACATAACCCTGGTGAGTGCTGGTTAGCGAAGGGGTCCACCCAGGGCGATTTCCGTGTTACTAGCCACTGGTGTTAGTCGTGGCCTGGAATCAAACTTACGTGGTCCGGTTCGTGGCAAGGTACCGCTGCTCCACCCAAAACAAAGGGGTTTTTTGGGGGGTTAGGTCGCGTAAATATAAATGTGTCGTTAAACCCGCCACCACCCGACCGAACCAGTTAGTAAGGTTCGTCACGTAAACAAAATATGCCAATTCGTTACGAGTACAGTACACCGGTGTGTTGAAGAGTAAACCCACAATTGTTAATGTTTTGGGTTAAACCCTACTAATTGGCTGTGTCAGCTGTTGGAGGGTTTAACGACACATTTATATTTACGCGATCAAACCCCCCAAAAAAACTTCTATTATGGACAATATTGGTCGCAAAAGCTTACTCGACACAGAACGTGATCAATTCGCTAACTCTCTCTCGCTCTCTCTTCCTACGAAGTGTCTTCATTCCTACATCTTCATTCCTACGTCGACCATGACGTGATTTCTGCAGCATTTTTTCCCGGTTGGCCGGGTTCTAAATAAAGAAAAACCCTCAAAATTCCCCTCGTTACTTAAAACTCTGGAGATGAGCATGTGCCCCCCACCCCACCCCATATTTTCAACGACTCGTGCGATGCGGTCGCATTTTAGACGCATCATAAATCCAAATCAGCGCCGGGAATTTTGGTCAAGCAACCCACACTCAAGCTACCCACACGGACCACAATGACGTAGAGCGGAGCTCATCCATGGAAATTGAAGACGCAATGAGTGTGTGGGGGGGGGGGGGGGGTCGCGGGAAAAGCGAGTTATGACGACGCAGCAGCAATGGATTTAGAACAACAGAAAAGCACTCGGTGTTGGTCAAGGTGCGGCCCCTGCAATCGTTCTGCTCACGCCACTGCTTGAGGAAGGGCATCCACTGAAGCAAGAACAGCCATTTATTTTTCGAATTCGTAAAAAAAACCTCAAGATTTCAAGAGCCTCAATGCAAGGCGGTGCATATACGAGACGGTGATGGTCCTTCATCAATAACGTCACAAAAACAGTCCCTGGTGATTCGCACGGCCCAATCTTCCAGGCTGGAGTCGCCCACACTCTTACCCGCACCACACGCGGCCTGCTCTTTGATTGAGGATATTCACGTTCACACTGCTGGGCGTGCAGAGGGTGTGCGATTTGAAAAATCTCGCCCCACTGTTTCAGTTTGCCCCACCGGGAGAAAGAACCTGGATCTTCCGATACATAAACAGTCATTACGTGAAACTCCGCTTCTGCGGCCGTCTGGAACGCTCTTCCGTCAGATACGCCACCGGAGCTATGCACTTTTACGTACAGGTTGAAAACTGCTTTTGGTGTTTAGTTTGTTGTCCTTCCCCCGCACCGCCGATTAGCACGGGTGACCACCACGTACGGTGCGAAAGAAGTTCGACATACACCGCTGCAACATTCCCTCTGTACACCACTACTGCCCGAAAAATTCCAACGGTATTGTGCTGCATCGCCGTTAGAACAAACAAATAAACGAATGAATGGACAATCAAGGTAGTGTTGCCTGTGCGACTGAGATCCAGGCCAAGGGAGGGCTATTTGCTCAGTCGCTCACCCCCCCCCCCGCGCCACTAACCTTCCTTTTGCTCTCAACCCAAGTGTTGGGAAGGGATGGGTGGGTATGTATGCATGTGTGTCTTCTGTGGGCGGGTTTGGCTCAATGGTGTGTGCGTTGTTAGGGCGGTGGATGATCGTCAGAGGGAGGAGGAGAAGTGTCAGGATGGGGTTTGAAACTCAGAGGGGAATACATTGTCCAAAGGAATGCTGTGTGCAGTGTGTGTGTGTGCGCGCGCGCGCCAACGTGAGTCACCTGCCCGTACAGTTGGGGCTCAGCCTCTAACCCGTTGCTCTAAGACGTTAAGAAGGCGTGAGTATGTTTAAAGCACAACAAGGCAAATGTTGTACTGCACTGGTACGTGCAGAGCCCTTCGTCAATCAACTGCTGGACGAGAGGCTGCCCGATTAGCGCGGTTGTTCATCACCACGCCGATGAGTGCGGTGTTGGTGAAGGGAGTCCAGGCACTGGTGCGGGAACACGGGAGCACAGAAGCACAGTACAACATTGTTTTTTGTTGTTGTTGCAGCAACAACGCCCCCCTGTTGCCTATAAATGACCTTTTGGCGCGTGGCGTCCAACCATCCGAGCACGAGCCAAGCTCAACCAGGATGGGAGCTGACACAGTGATGGACACGGTAATGGTTAGCGCAGTGGACTTTTGCAATCCAGAGGTCGGTCAGTTCGAATCCCATCTCTCGGCCAAGCGGTTGATACAATGCGGTACGCGTTTATTACATGATGACACCGGTGCACCGTCGTCAACGGGCATGAGAACAT